AGATGAATCAACAGCGACCGTTCATATTGATGTTTATTCAGCTGAAAATGGAGTATCTCGTTTTCTTGAAATGAAAAATTGGATGTAAGTCATATATATTATTCATTTATTAATTTTACAAATATTTCTATTTAGTTATAATAAAACCGAAAATTTAACTATTGATGACTTATCTCAATTTGATTATTTATTGGTTGAAGCAACAAATGATGATGATCATCGTTTAATTCCGTATTTATCTCGAGGTCATCAAATTATTGATTTTGTTCGTGGATTTAATGGATTTTATATTCATAGACAATTTTTATTGAGAATGCGTTTTACACCGAAAATTTATATGTTAGAAAAAAAGAAAAATACAAGTTGAATATCCTAAAATAAGATATTCATCGAATGGATCTTATAAAACAAAAACAAATCGTTAATATCTGAGATTATTGTTGAGTAATAAAACGATTGAAAAACTAAGATATTTTCGATATAAATGCTATACGAATAAACAAAAAAAAAGATTTTTCCCGAGAAATAAATTTTGTACAAAACAAATATTTTATCTCAGGTAACTACAAAAAATATCTTAGGATATTCTTTAACAATCCATTCGTGAACTAACGAATGATTAAAGTTTCATCTGATGAAGATGTTTTAAAAATTGATGCTAATGTAATGAATCAAATATATAACCGAAAGGAGGGGAGGGCGTATAAGACTAGAAATCGGCCCACTATGTAAATTTAGCTGGGTTCAAAAAATTATGAGGCCGGGGATATCACGGCAAAATTTGAAAATGGGCCAATTTCCAGTCTCATACGCCCCCCTCCGTTATTTGATCGAATGTCATCGTAAAGTTGAACTATTTGATAGAATCTTACGTATCAAATTCGATTCTAAATGGACAAAAATAATATTTTTGATCTCTCATTTTACCTTGAAGACACATGTACATACCAGTTCTTTCTTTTATTAATAATTGATAGTGTTCATAAATTTCATTATTTTATTGTAGATAAGAAGAAAACATCATGTTTTCTATTTATAAAACAATTCATCCTCCAACTAGTATTGAACATGCTGTATGGTCTCGTTTTATCACTCCATTAGAAAATAATTTAATATTAAGCAGTGCAAATCATTTATATGTTTATCGTATTAATAATCATACAACACAATTTGAATGTTTACATACATTTATACTTTGGGGAAATATATGTACAATAACACCATGTCGTATAGGTTCATTAACAAAAGATACATTATTTTTATCATTTATGGATGCAAAATTATCCTTAATTGAATTTGATTCCACTATACAAGATTTAAAAACATTATCAATGCATTATTTTGAAGATGAATTAGCTAAAGAAGGACAATGGTTTAATTTTTCACCACCTATTGTACGTGTTGATCCAGATATGCGTTGTGCTTGTATGCTTATCTATAATTCAAAACTTGTTATTATACCATTTTTTAGTCAGTTAGATAGAGAAATTATAACAAATGATACAATACCAAGTACAGCAGGTATGTATATTATTGAATTATAAATAATATATGTATGCATTTATGTTATGATATTAGGTGTAACACCTGGCGGTACAAGACAATTCTCTTTATCTTCTTATATAGTTCATTTAAAAAAACTTGATGCATCACTAACTGGTCGTATAATAGATTTACAATTTTTACATAGTTATTATGAACCGACATTATTTATTTTATGTGAATCAAGCCGAACATGGGTCGGTCGTGTAGCTGTTAAAAAAGATACTTGTTCTAGTGTTGCACTTTCAATAAATGTTGCTCAAAAATCTAATCCAGTTATATGGCCAGTTGATAAATTACCATTTGATTGTCTTAGTTGTTTATCTGTACCAAAACCCATTGGTGGTATACTTGTTTTAGCAACAAATTCTATTATATATCTTAATCAAAGTATACCAGCTTATGGTGTTGCATTAAATACAATGACACGTGATTCAACAAAATATCCATTGAGACCATTATATGATCTTAAAATTGCACTTGATTTAGCTGAAGCAATATTTATATCAAATGATAAAGTTCTTATATCAATTAAATCAGGTGATGTATATCTATTAACATTACATACAGATACAATGCGAACAATGAAAGAATTTACATTTGATCGTATTGGATCAACTGTATTATGTAGTTGTTTATGTAAATGTGATGATAATTTCATATTTTTTGGTTCACGTCTTGGTAATTCTTTATTACTTCGTTTAAATGAAAAAGCAATTATTGATCCAACATCGATTGATACTATTGAAACAATGAATGGTGATGAAAATGAAACTAATGAAACTGATTTCTATGAACAACCTGAAACTCTTAGTGAATCATTAAATAAAATTGATTTAACTGAAACAGATATGGATATAATTGTTCCAAATAATAAAAATGATACGATATTTTTTTCAAGTGAATTCGGTACAAATGAATCAAAAAAACAAAGTTATAATTATTCATTTGAATATTGTGATAATCTTATAAATATTGGTCCATGTGGTTATGCAATTGTTGGTGAAGGTGATAGTGAAGAAGCACGTCTTATACAACGTCATATTCCTCCACAATATCAAACAACACAATTAGATTTTGTTACAACATCAGGTACAAATAAATGTGGTTCAGTTTCAATATTACAACAAACAATAAAACCGGAATTAGTAACAACACAAGCCTTACCCGGTTCAATTGATATGTGGACAGTTTATTCGTCAATAAAAGAACAAGAACAAAAATCTGAACATTCATTTATATTAATCAGTCAAGAAACTTCAACATTAATATTCCAAACAGGTATTGATATCACCGAATTAGAACAAGGAGGATTTCTAACAAATGAACAAACAATTTATTGTGGAAATATTGGTGAACAATTAATTGTACAAATAACACGATTACATATAGTATTATTACGTGATAGTATACAAATACAAATGCTATCGTTTGAAAATAATCCGATACGTTTTGCAACAAGTCTTGATCGTTATTTAGCTATTTTAACAACACATGGTGTTATTCATATTTATTTACTTTCACAAGATAATAATGAACAACCAAAACTTATAGAATATTGTAAATTAAATGATAAAAAATATACATGTATTAATTTATATGTTGATCAAAGTGGATTATTTACAACAACAGTTAATAATAATATTTATTCTCATACAGCAACATCAAATTCTCCTAAACAAGAAACAATTCAACAAAAAATGGTATCATTACCAACAAATCCACTTGATTCAGCTGAATTTACTGGAGGTGATGATGAAGATGAATGGTTATATGGAGCAAAAACAACTGAAAAATCTGCAACAGTAATTGAACCCATGGATAGTTCAAGTAATCCTCCAACAACAACAACTACAAATCCTTCCCCAACAGTGAATAATAATAATAATAATAATGATTCAACAAATATTACTCCGATTACACGTTGGTTAATAGCTATTAGTAAAGATGGAACATTAACTATGCATGAACTTATGCTTGATGAAACAATTCCACCAATATTAAAATTTGAAATATCACGTTTTAATAGTGCATTAAAAATACTTATCGATATACAAGATACAAATCCACCTATGACAAATTATTTAGGAAAAATAGAAACATCATGTTCTGCTTATGTTTATGAATTACTTGTTATTGGTTTAGGACCAAAAAAAGATCGAGTATATTTAATTGCACGAATTGATGAAGATCTTATTTTATATGAAGTTTTTCCTTATCAATATTTACCAGAAGATCGTTTAAAATTACGTTTTCATCGTATAACATGTAATGCATTAGTTCGAACGAAAAAATCTAGTGCAAAAAAGAATGCAGCTAAACGACAAAAAGATGCTGCTGCACAATTACAACAAAATCAAGCTAAACTGAATGTTAATTCACAAGAATTACTTTCAGTACAAACTGATTTACTTGATGATGAAATGAATGAATATCAACGAATGTTATTAAGACCTTTTAATAATATTGCGAGTCATTCAGGAGTATTTATATGTGGTACTCATCCATATTGGTTAATATGGTAAGTTTTTTTTTATCGGTGTTGTGAAGAAATCCGGAAAAAGAAAAATCTGAAGAGTGAGAAATCTTGAGGGTGTGGGTCGGGATGGATCTTCCTGTCTCACACCCATATCAACACCAACGCCCACCCACACCCTAGCTCAGTTGCTAGAGCATCCGCCTGTTACGCAGTAGGTGCGAGATTTCCATCTTCAGAGACGTGTTTTATCTGTTTTTCGAATTTTTTATTTTCCGAATTTCTTGACATATTCTTTTTATCGATACATTTATTAAACGATAAAAACCAATTTTAATATTTTGTAGGTCAAAAGGTAATTTACGTTCATTTCCAATGAATATCGATGGTCCAATAAAAACATTTGCTGAATTTAATAATGCTAATTGTCGTAATGGTTATTTATATTTTAATCAAAGAGATGATTTAAGAATATCTATTATGCCTTCAAAAAGAATATTAGATACACCTTGGCCTTTACAAAAAATTCCATTTAAACAAACAGGTAAATTTATTTGAATATCTATCTAATAGACATATCTCCTTTTTCTAGTACATTTCCTTTGTTATCATGTTGAAAGCAAATTATATGCTGCAACAATAAGTACTAATGAATTCACACATACATTAGTACAACCATCTGGTGAAGATCGTGAATCTATCATATATCAGAAAGAAGCAAATTTTCTTTTACCTTCACGTGAACAGTTTTTTGTACAACTTTATTCAGCTATCAAATGGGAATCAATTCCAAATGCTAGATTAACAATGAACGAATGGGAACATGTCACTTGTATGAAAACAATTGCATTAAGATTTCAAGGAAATTTAATGAAAACTTATATTGCTGTTGGTACAGCAAATTGTTTTAATGAAGATGTTGTTAGTAGAGGACGTGTTATTCTATTTGATATTATTGAAGTTGTTCCTGAAGTTAATCAACCACTTACTAAACATAAACTAAAAATCGTTCATGATCGTGAAGAAAAAGGTCCTGTAACAGCAGTTGATTCTATTCTTGGTTATTTAGTTGCAGCTGTTGGTCAAAAAGTATATATATGGCAATATCAAAATAATAGTCTGAAAGGTATTGCCTTTGTTGATATACAAATCTATTGTCATCGAATGGTAACAATAAAAAATTATATTCTTATTGGTGATGTACATAAAAGTATTGCTTTATTACGTTATCAAGAAGATATGCGTGTATTATCATATGTTAGTCGTGATTCAAGACAATTAGATGTATTTGCAACAGATTTTTTTATTGATCAATCACATATACAATTTGTCGCAACTGATTCAGATAGAAATATGTATATTTATGCTCATGCTCCAACACAAAAAGAAACACAAGGTGGACAATGGTTATTAAGAAAATCGGATTTTCATATTGGTTATCCAATAACATCAACTATAAGAATGTTAGTTAATGTGAATCATTTAACAACAAAACAAAACTTTGAAAATAAACAAACATTGCTAATGCCAACTCTTGATGGTGCTATTGGTTGTCTTGTACCTTTAAATGAGAAAATCTTTCGACGATTAGCTATGTTACAAAATTCTTTAACAACAATGTTTCCACAATATGGCGGTTTAAATCCTAAAAGTTTTCGAATATGTAAAACACGACGAAAACAACTTGATAATCCTCAAAAAAATACTCTTGATGGTGATATACTTTGGCGTTATTTTGATCTTAGCTTTATTGAACGCAATGAATTACTTAGTCGTCTTGGAATGCAATCTGATCAGGTAGAAGAAAATTTTTTTGTCTATTTCGAAATTTAAATTATTTCTTTTTTTTAGTTTCATGAAGATCTCACTGATATTGCACGAGCTGTGACTTTATTCTAATTGTTATATAAATAGTTGTTTTCTTTTTTCTTTTTTTGTGTGTGTTTCTTTATGTATACAAAAAAAACTCAGATGTATTACGTATTTTGAATGTTGACATGTTTTTTTTTCTGTAGATTAAAAAGAACACGAAATGGTTTTTGAAAATTTCTTTCGAACACAAAAAAAATCTGAACCTATACTTCCACCTTCTTCTCCTCCTCCTCCAGCTATTACTATTGAAAAAGAAAATGATAATCGATATATAAATGCATTAAAAGATTTCAAACCTACTTCACTTGAAGATTATGGTTATTATTTTTTTCCGGAAAGATTCGGTCATGAATATAAATTAACAATACCACAACGTATTTTACAACTTTCAATTCCATTTGATTCTGCTTCACGTGATTTAGCAAGAAAACTTGAATGTGAAAAATATGTTATTAAATCAATTGAATCAAATCCAATGATTAAAACACTTGTACAAGCACTTGCGGATAATAATTGTCCGATTGATTTATCACGTCATTTTAGTTGTGAATATTGTGATAATGCAATGCCAACTGGAATGTTTGATCCAGCAACGAATCAAATAGTTGTTTGTCAAAATCAAATAGCTTATTTCGATACATGTATTATAACAGGACTTGTTCAAGCATTTGATTATTGTCGAAATAAAGTTGACGTACATAATTTACGTCATTTTGCATGTAGTCAAATACGTGCATTAAATTTTACGGATTGTAGTTTAACGAAAGGATGTTGTAAGTGAAATAATTCGATTAAATTTAAATATAAAAATAATTTTTGTTGTTTATTTAGATGTAGATCTTCGTGTTAAACGACGATATCATGCATGTTTAGAAAAAGAAGCAGTACAACGATTACGTATGATGCGTTCAGTAGAAGAAAAAGAAGCAAAACAGATAGTTAAAGATGTTTTTCGACCATGTCGATATGATTTCGAACCATTTGGAGAAGATCCAAAACTTATTGCAAAAGAAAAATTTATTTTCAATGATTATGAACGATATAAACGATGGTCAAAGACAACCGTATAGAGAAATGAAAATGTTTACTTTTTTGTTTTTTTATTAGTCAATTGGTTTTCTTATGTTAGATATTTGTTTGATATTAATAGAAAAAGACAACATATAAGCATTTGTTTTTTTAACTAATTTTAATAGTGCTATTATTATTCATATAATCAATAACTGCTGATATATGTCTTAAAGGGATGAATGTATATGTGAATCTAAGTACAGCATACCAACTGTAGATATTGATTTATCAAGATATTATTCTAAAAACAACTGAAATGATAACAGAATAATTAGAATGTCAATTTTCCGTAGGATCATCTATATACTTGAAATAGTAACTTCATTTTCTATATTCTGTTACAACAAGTTTCAGATGAGTGAGATCTTTTAGCAAATCAAGATATGTTAGCTCAATGAAAATATTTGTAGAGTATATGATTTAACAAATGATCGGAAGTGGTAAACTACAGAATTACAATTTTAATTCTAATTCCAACTCTACCGATATCGACACGGCTAGTTGATCATGATATTAGATTTGAATATACAAGATCTATATAAATTTGTATTAAACGATAAAATTCTTTTGTAATCCAAAAAATGTTTATTTTACTATATATCTATATAATATTTCCTCTTTTTCTTCATCTGTGGTCATATGAGACTTTCACCTTCTCTATCACATAGATGTTCGTATGGTATCTTTCTTTTCGTTATTTTAATTCGTTCTTCTGATTTATATTGAAATATGTTGTATTACAAGAGATGGGAATAATCAAAGTAACCGTTTTCTTCTTAGATAAACGAACTACTGATAAGCTCTCAAAACTATCATCTTATCCTACAAGCTACAATACGACTAACAATTTCATCAACAATTTACAATGGCAAATCAAGCAATCGCTAACTTCCTTACATTACCGGTAGAACTTGTCTACCGAATTCTAGATCATCAATCGGACTTCACCCTTATATGCTCAATGAGAAATGTATGTCAACGGTTCAATAGCATCTTAGACAGCTACGATCGATATCAGGTAAGCTTTTCTCTCTCATGATAACTTAATTTTTATCTATTGACTCCAACATAAAATACGTGAATACAGTATTTCTCACTCAAAATAACTCACTGTCAATCCCTTTCTCCACAAACATTCTGTTTTTCTACTATGACAATGTGAAAATAGTCCATTTTTTTCAATTAAACTTAAATATTCCACGTTTCGAACTAGGTATCCTGTCATAAACACACGATGATTAGTTCTTTTCAGTCTAAATTTTCACTATACACTATCAAACAGTATACATGAACTAAAATGCTTCGAATATTCATATTGCTATTCTTAAGCCCGAGACTGATGAGAAAAACATTCGTTTGGCTGACAGAATCCCAACTCATACCGATTCGACTGTATATTCTGTCTATCTGCACCTTCTCTTCACCATTACTTTTTCATCTAGACACTAACAACATTAAAAGTCGGCTTCAAATGTATCCGAGCTATTGGAGCACAATCTTTGGGTGCTGCATTACAACACAATACGGTAATTGTCATTCGCAATTTATCTATAGCATGTCTTTATCTTCTACTTATTCATCTAGACACTCACCACAATAGATCTTTGGTACAATAAAATCGGACATCTTGGAGCACAATGTTTGTGTGATGCATTACAACGCAACACAGTATTTCTCATTCTCCCCTTATCTATATCCTGCTTTACCTACAACTCATCATCTAGACACTCACAACATTAATTCTCCGTGAAAATCAAATCGGAGATCTTGGTGCACAATTTTTGAGTAGTATGTTAAAATACAACACAGTAACTCTCATTCTCACTTTATCTATACCATGTTTTACATCGATCTCTTCATCTAGACACTCACCACCCTACATGTTTGGCAGAATGAAATCGGAAGTATTGGAGGACGCTCTTTGGGTAATGCGCTACAACATAACACAGTAACTCACATTCTCCCTCAATCTGCTCCTCATCTTTACCAGCACTGTTCATCTAGACACTCACCACACTAAACATCACGGACAATAAGATCGGAGCTGTTGGAGGACGATCTTTCGGTACTGCATTACAACATAACACAGTAACTCTCCTTCGCTTTCTATATGTACCTAGTCGGTACTTCCACTTTTTCATCTAGACACTCACAACACTGAGACTCTTCTATAATAATATCGGAGATATTGGCGCACAATCTTTGGGCGATGCATTACAACACAATAAAGTAACTCCCATTCTCTCTTTATCTGTATCATGTCTGTATCTCCATCTTTTCATCTAGACACTCACCACATTAGATCTTGACCAAAACAAAATCAGGGACATTGGTGCACAATCTTTGGGTAATGCATTACAACTTAACACAGTAACTATCATTCTCTCTTTAGCTATATCATGTCTGTACCTTTACTTTTTCATCTAGACACTTACTACACTAAAGCTCGATCAGAATAAAATCGGAGATATTGGAGCACAATCTTTGGGTAATGGATTAAAATACAACACAGTAACTCCCGTTCTCTCTTTATCTATACTATGTTTTACTTTCATTTTTTCATCTAGGCACTCACCATGTTAGAACTCGGCAGCAATAGAATTAGAGATATTGGCGCACAATCGTTGGCTGATGCATTACAATATAACACAGTAACTCACATTCACTCCTTATCTATATCATGTCTTTACCTCCACTTCTTCATGTAGACACTCACCACATTAGATCTCGGTGGCAATAAAATCACACGTATTGGAACACAATTTTTGGGTGATGCACTACAACGCAACACAGTAACTGTCAATCTCTCTTTATTTATACCATGTATTTACCTTCATTTGTTCATCTAGACACTTACCGCATTAGATCTGTGCCACAATAAAATTGGAATTGTTGGAGCACAATTTTTGGGTATTGCGTTACAACACAACAGAGTAACTCTCATTCTGTCTTTATCTATACGATGTTCGACTTCTACTTTTTCATCTAGAAACTCGCTGCACTAGATCTTTGTGGCAATAAAATCGGAGATCTTGGAGCACGATCTTTGGGTGATGCATTACAACATAACACAGTAACTCCCGTTCTCTCTTTATCTATATCTTGTCTTTAAGTGCACTTCTTCATCTAGACACTCGCTAAATTAAAGCTTGGTCAGAATAAAATCGGAGATCTTGGAGCACGATCCTTTGGTGATGCATTACAACATAACACTGCAAGTTTCTTTCTCTCTTTATTAGAAACATGCCTATACCTTCACTTCTTCATTTAGACACTTGTCACACTAGAACTCAGCTTCAATGAAATCGGAGATGTTGGAGGACAATGTTTGGGTTCTGGATTACAACACAACACAGTAACTTTCAATCTCTCTTTATCTAAAGCCTTCGTTCAACTTTATACTTTTATGTAGACACTCACCAAACTAGACGTCGGGGATAATGCTGTTGGGCGTAATGCGATGCTAGTAATCAAAAAATTACTTAAAAAGAATGAAAACGGTAAAAAATCGTGAATGACACTATTAAATGTGTTTGGATGGTGAATAAATCGCTGATGGTGATTATGCAAGTATTTTTTTATCTCATAATGTTTTGATGGAAACAGTAAATAAAACTGCTTTTTTAAACGTAATATGTCTTTTTTTATTAATATTTGCTTAGCGGTTTATTATATGGTGATTAGAATGTTGGTAGTCTCAAAAATAAACCTTTTGTAAAACTATGTGAGGATGTGTGATCGTGCACAACTAAGCCGCAGTTTTCTATAGGAAAATGAAAACTCTGAAAGATCGATCCGAGTGACAACAAACCGTAAAAGATTTCCCATGATAACAGTAAAATCCTGATAAGCTCTTTCTGGTAATGCTCAAAGAAAAGCCCCTGCCCAATGATATTAAAGAAGAAAAAGTTTTCTTTAACGTTTGGAAACCGGAAATGGTTTTAGTTTCGATTAGTGTAGAACTTTTATTTACATTTAAAACAATGGATGATATTGATAATTTGAATTATCTTCGACCATTATTAACATCTTCATATTCAACATCAAGCAATACAACGATTTCATTCATTTAAAATATTTTCTCGCCAAAAAAAAATTTATTTTATCAAGACAAAACTTCAATTCAAATCTATGATTTTATTATAATTAACTCAAATGAAAGAAAAAGTAAAAATATTAAATCAAATTTCATCAATAATATCAAAATAATATTTAAATAGTTGCGAAAAAACGGTATGATTATTGTGAACAATTATGTTTTCCAAATGCAATTGATCAAACAGAAATTACATGTAGTTGTACACAATATTATAATTTACCTGATGATGGTCGTTCATGTGAAGCAAATTGTGCTGAGTAAGTGATTGCAGAAAAATAGATTTTTCGTTTTTATTTGTTTTACTTTTCAGACATATTTTTAATTGTCCTGTGTCAACAAATGTATTGGATTTTATCAACATTCTGATGGATTTAATGATTGCATATATAATGAAGATGAAACTAATTGTCAAGATTTAATACAAAAATTGATTAAGATTTGTTTCTGTATATTGAATTAAAATTAAAATTTAATACATGAAAATTATTTCGTTGTTCAACAAGTGAGAAATATATAACAACTAATGATGTATGTAACAATATGACTGATTGTTCACATGAGGAAGATGAGCATAATATTGTTTGTGGATACTTTTGTGAATAGTCAAGTTTAAACACTTACATTTTCTTTTTAGATAAACGAACTATTGCTAAGGTTACAGAACTATCATCTTCTTCTACAAGTTACGATAAGACTGTAACAATTTCATCAACAATTTACAATGGCAAATCAAACTGTCACCAACTTCCTTACATTACCAGTAGAACTTGTCTACCGAATTCTGGATCATCAATCGATTTTCACCCTTATATGCTCAATGAGAAATGTATGTCAACGATTCAACAGCATCGTAGATAGCTATGACCGATATAAGGTAAGCTTTTTTCTCTCATAATAGTTTAATTTTTATGTATTAACTCCAATACAATATACCTCAATAAACTATTTCTTACTCAAAATAATTCACTGTCTATCCTTTTTTCTCCAAACATTCCTTTTTTTTATTATGACAATATGAAAATAGTGACCTGATAAGCAGAAAAAAAGTCCCTTTCTTCAATTACAATTAAATATTCCACGTTTCAAACCAAGTATAATGTCATAAGCACACGGTGTTAAGATGAGAGCGACTAACACGGAGAAAACATTGTTATTTGTTTTTTATGTGTATCAAAGCACATTTTTTATACATGCAGTTTTGCAGATTGAAAATAGCTCTTAAAAGAAATCAGCAGTCGATGGAAATGGATAACAGATTGACTCATAACACCGTTCTCATCCAATCCCATCTCTAACACTCATACCTAGAATATGAAAAGTTCTTTATCGACATTTTTCGATACCACGGTTTTACATGCATTAGTCTTCTAGTTATAATGAGTCTGACATTAAAGAATAACTTGTTTAACATTCCACTTTCTATAAATCAATGTGGCTTCATGCACACAATCATATAGTGCCACTCAAAGCAACTACCGAAATCGACGAATATTCTAACCCATACCAATTACACCCATGAATAAAGTCAAGTTACATAACTCGTACAAAACTCTCATCCAAAACACATCTCGAGCCTTATCAATGCACAGAATATAAAACGGTCAGACAAATAATGAGAAGAAACTATCTCCTCTCATATTTGCACGATACTACTAAGCGATACACCACACTATATTATTCTCTGAGCCATTTACCACAAGACCTTACACTTTGAATACATAATAGGGAGTTTTATAAATGTCTTACACCCGACTAACTTACATACCCTTATTAAATAATCCATAAAGTTTCCTTCTTTCACTAATATTCAAAAAGTGCAGCGACCTACAGATAAAACATTTCTATGAATACTTCACTTTTGGTAACTTCTTTTCCGTCTATATTTTTACAACTCACTATCGAACAGTATACACGATTCAAAATTCTTCAATTACTCATATTCCCATTCTAAGATCCAAGAAGGTCGTCAGAAAAACATTCATTTCACTGATAAAACTCCAACTTATACTGATCGACTATATCCTCTTTACCTGCTTCCACCTTTACTTTTCCTTCACTTTTTCATCTAGACGCTCACCATACTACATCTTACCGGTAATAAAATCGGAGATACCAGAGCACAATCTTTGGGTGGAGCACTACAGCACAATACGGTAACTCTCGTTCTCTCTTTATGTATACCATGTCTTTAACTCCATTTCCTCATTTAGACCATCACCATATTAAATCTCGCAGGCAATGAAATCGGAGATGTTGGAGCACAATCTTTGGGTGAAGCACTACGGCACAATACAGTAACTCTCGTTCTCTCTTTATTTATACCATGTATTCACCTTCATTTGTTCATCTAGACACTTACCAAATTAAATCTCGGCCGCAATAAAATCAGAGATGTTGGAGCACAATCTTTGGGTGAAGCACTACAACATAACACAGTATAGCTATCACTCCCTCTTTACCAATACCATGTCTTTACCAGCACTACTTCATCTAGACACTCACCACATTAGATCTCGACGACAATGAAATCAGAGATGTTGGTGCACAATCTTTGGGTGATGCATTAAAACACAACACAGTAACTCTCATTCTCTCTTCATTTATACCATGTCTTTACCTCTACTTCTTGATCTAGACACTTACTACTTTAGATCTCTACTTCAATAAGATCGGAGAAGTTGGAGCTCATTTTTTGGGTGACGCATTACAACACAACACAGTAACTCTGAGTCTTTCTCTGTCTATACCATGTTTTAATCCCACTACATGTTCTAGACACTCGTCACATTAAATCTTCAATTTAATGAAATCGGAGATGTTGGAGCACAATCTTTGGGTGATGCATTAAAACACAAC